CCCCCCTCTCTCCATTGGGGAGGAGGCTCTTCTCAGCCAGACTGGCTGACCTGCTCCACCAGGCTTTAAACTAAGCCCGCCAGAGGATGGGACTACCGCCACTGCTGGCCCACTGAGCAACCCTTGCAAAGTCAGCAGACCAAGGCACTTAAAGGAGCCCACCCCTGCCCCAGCCCTGGAATGAACTGTCGGCAAGGCAAGGACCCCCAAGGGGAAACTTCTGTGCCTATACACAAATACTAGGAGCTTGGGGAACAAACAGGAGGAACTTGTGTTCCTGCTAAATGCAAATAACTTTGATGTCTTAGGGATAACAGAGACCTGGTGGGACTCCACCCATGATTGTCCACAGGTATAGATGGCTATACCCTGTACAGGAGGGATTGAGTGGACAAAAAGGCGGGGGTGTCCTCCCCGCTGCCGGAGAGGCAGGTAAGTCAGCAGGGTGCATGCATGACACGGAGGTTTAAAGGGCCCTAAATTGAAGCAGTGTTTTTAAAAATGCACTGCTTCAATTTAGGGCCCCCATTTTGTCTACACATGCACCAAGTTTGGGGGCTAATGTTAAGAAAGCTGAACATCTGCAAACCACACACATCAAATCTTACAGCTCTTACAAACCCTAGGAGTCACACTATGTGACCTTGAACAACCTCTACTGGCACTTTATTTGCATATATACAAACAGCATATTCCTGGATCTAGAATTGAGCAAATATCAGGTAAACAGTAAAATTTCTTGGGCACGTAACAGAGAGTCAGAAAGCTCCTGTTCCTTGAGGAGGAAAGAGAGTAGGAGGAGCTAATTATAAGGAAAACAGCCCTTACGACGACAGGCTGAGCGCTATGGGACTCTTCAGCCTGGAAAAGCACAGGCTTAGGGGTGATCTGGTGACTGCCTATAAGTTTATCAGGGGTGCTCACCAGGATCTGGGGGAACAATTTTTCACCAGAGCCCCTCAAGGCATGACAAGGTCAAATGGTTATAAACCCCTGCAAGACCGTTTTAGGCTGGACGAAAGAAATAATTTCTTTACTGTCCAAGCCCCCAAGGTCTGGAATAGCCTGCCACTGAAGGTGGTTCAAGCACCTACTCTGAATGCCTTCAAGAAAAAAATGGATGTTTATCTTGCTGGGATCCTGTGACCCCAGCTGACTTACTGCCCCTGGGGCAGGGGGCTGGACTCGATGATCTTCCAAGGTCCCTTCCAGCCCTAATGTGTGTGAAATCTCTGAAATTTGTGAATCGGAAACAGTGATTCAAATCAACAAATCGAATCACTGTCCCTGATTCGGGCCAATTCCAAATCTGAATTGAATAGGGCCCACTTTGCACACCCCTATTCATTATCTAGGTTTTATAATAATAAAACTGATAATAACAAACAATAACAATGATTAAAAAAACCCTATTGTATCTTCTTTGTTTTTTTAAATATCATATTTAATTCAAATTACAGAACCATTATTTGGAAATTAAAATAACTTGCACAGGAATTATAATTTAAATTAAATTAATTTTAGCCTAGAAATGAGTCATTCAAATACATATTTTTTAAAGTTTAGCTATTGAGTGTTCAATGGCTGACATTCAACCAACACAAAGAAAACCATCTAATATCCATCCTAAAACTTAAAAGATCATTCATCTAGACCACAGTATCATTTTTTTTCTTCGAGATACATCATGTCACCAGAGATTCAGTTCATAAAGTTTTTGCCTTATCTTATATGTTTTTAATTTCTCTTTAAAATAAACCTCAAAGGAAAACTGATCCAATATCCTTGTACAGTCATAAATTTATGGATGACCTTCTTTAGGGCCTCCTTGACCTGTTTGTTTCTCAAGCTGTAGATGATGGGCTTAACCAAGGGGGTCAGGACAGAGTAAAAGACAGAGAATATTTTGCTCAGGTCTCTAAACATGACAGTTTTGGGCAACAAATACACTAACATGATAGTCCCATAAAAAAGTGTCACCACAATAAGGTGAGAAGAGCAGGTGGAAAATGCCTTGTGCCTGCCCATAGCGGAGGGCGTTCTCAGGATGGTAGCAATGATATAGGCATAGGAAAGAAGCGTTAATAGAAAGGGAGGCAAGGTAAATATAGCAGCAAATATGTAAACCATAAGTTCTAGGAGATGGGTATCACTACAAGACAGGTGGATTATTAAGGGAAAATCACAAAAGAAATGGTCTATTTCCTTGGGACTACAGAATGTTAATTTTGACATCAAAATATTTGTGATTGTACTAGCCAGAAACCCACTTACCCAAGACCCAGCTGCCAGCTGAATGCAGAACATACCATTCATATGAATTGTATAATGCAGTGGTTTACATATTGCTAAATACCGATCATAGGACATCATGGCTAAAAGACAGCATTCAGTAGCTGCTAGAAAAGCAAAAAAATACAGCTGCGTGATGCAGCATCGATCAGAGATGGTTCTGTCCCCAGTCATTATGCTGGCCAGCACCCTGGGTAAGATGGTTGAAGTGTAGAAGGTCTCCAAACAGGACAAATTCCCCAGGAAGAAGTACATGGGGGTGTGCAGGTGCTGATCAGTTGCAACCAATGCAATGATGAGGATGTTGCCAGACAGAGTCATAATGTAGATCAAAAGTAACACCAGGAAAAAAAGGACCTGAAGTGTAGGAAGATACTGAAATCCCAGAAGGATGAATTCTGTGTTAATTGTTTGATTTTCCCAGCCTCTGTCTGCCATGAGATCTAACTAAGAAAATTGAACAGAGAAAAAAACTGCTTTTTAGGAAGATAAATATATATTTGCTACAGTAGCATTTACTTCATCCCGTCAATGCACCATAGCTATTTCAAATACCCCACGTGATGCAAGAAGTTGCCAACAATCTAAATTTTGTAGTCACATATGCCTTTTTATGCCACTTCCTGAAGTAGGAAATCAAAATTAACATCCATCTTTCCACTTCCAGCAACTGGAGAATCTTAAATTGCCTTTTTTCTTAATCATAACCCCGCTAAAATGAAATGTCTTTTATTTCTAATATTTTTTAAGAAATGCATGTAGCGTCATATTCCCAAGGTAGAAGACAAATAAATCACACTGAAGCAAACACCCTGAAACTGAAATGTTCTTCTTTGCTATGTTTTAGTAATGCTTTCAAAAATACCAACAGAAGAACAGATATTTGTTAGTCACAAGAGCTTCTAGATGCACATAAAAATCCTTTTTTTCATTAAGTATCTTTCACAGTGGTTCAGAGAAATGCCTTAAAAAGAACACCAACCCATTGCATAAAAGAACCCAGAAGGCTATCAATAGGTAATAAAAGAGTGGCGCAGAAAGTTTCAGGAAAAAGATATTTAAATGAGATTTAAAGGCCATATAATAGTGGCTGCTGGTATTACCTGACCATTAAAACAAGCTTGTTGATAAGACAAGGGAAAATACAGGATGCACAAACACAGGAGAGGGAACAAGGGTGCAGCCAAAGGGTCAGGCGGGTCTTCCACTTGAAAATCATTAAGGATGAGTGTGGGGGGCTGTGGGAAATGAAGGGGTGACCTGGGTCTTCATATCTTAAAGTATGACAGCTGGAGAAAGGTGAGTGGAGGGTAGGTAACAATAATATGAAGGGGGAGAAAAGAGCGTTCATGTGCAGGACTGCTCAAAAGGAGAGAAGGAAGAAACAAGAGGAACTGAAAAGCCCAAATCTCTAGCACAATTTAATGAGGGATTAAAGTGTGTCGATGTCATAATCTCTGAGCCTCTCTCAGAAAATTTACTCTGACCTTTATCCACAGCACAATGCAGGGTGAGGAGGAAGCGTAAACCACCTTCATTCTGTTAGCTGTCACAGACTCCTATTGTACTTGGGTAAATGTATTGGGACCAAATTTTCAGAAGAGTTTGCATTTCTGGAGGTACAAATAGATGCCTGGTTCATTTTCCTTTCAAAATATGACTCTTATGCTCTCTCTGTCATAGATCCATCTCATCCATTTCTGGGTATGTAGGGA